CCCGTAGTGCAGACTTTAACCCCGTCGAAAATGTGTGGGCAGAGTTAACAAAGAAACTAAATGAAAGAAACCTTAGACCACGGAATAGAATTGAATTATGGGAAGCAATTGAGCAGGCATGGGAAGAGCTTGTTAACTATAACATGAGGGGATTGGTGCTATCTATGAACAGAAGACTGCAAAATTGTATTGACAAGAATGGGGCTTCCACCAAATATTAATTATTATTTATCATTGTTTATCGTTATTTAATATAAAATAGATTTAAAATAAAATGCATATTAAAAAAAAGACTTCTTTATTTTCGTTATTAAGATCATAATCCATTATATTCAAAAAACTGTTTTCTATATTTTTCATTTTGTAAAATATTTTGATATTTTAATTTTAATCTACCTATTCTAGCTAGTACACCACTGGCAACGTCACTTTGACGTAAAAGGTGCGTTTAAACGAAGTAAAAATTTAAAAAATGGGCTCCTAGATACGTGAACCTGTAAACTATTCCGTGACCGCAACTGTACATATACATGTACATTGTACCATACTGTTTTAAGTCACCATTTCTAAAATGTATCTTATTTTTTCAATTTGTATCATAAACCTACCGCTAATAGTGGTTGATGCAGATAAATACAAAAATAAAAAATAAATAGGTAGTCGAGACACGTTAATTCCAAATCAAAAAAGCTTTGGCACAAAAATGTTTGAAACATTTATCATACAAAGAAATATTTTTTTTTTAACAAGAAAAACGTATTAGTTATTTGCGTAATTAACGCCATTAAACTACTGTTATAGTTTATTCCACGAAAAATGGTTGATTGCTTAATGATTGCAATAAAACCCGACCGCAAGTACCATAGCTTAGTCAACATTATTTAAGCAGGTAAGTATTTCGGTAAAATTGAAGCTACTGTGGAGTGTCGTTATCTTGTTTGTATCATAAATTCTTGGTAATATAAAAACGATTAAAAAATCGTATGAAATTATAAAAAGGATTAGAATACATTTTATTTCATAAAGTAAACATTTTAACAGTGAGTTTCACTGTCAATGGTTGATATTTTATTGACCACAATAAATTTGTTGATCGTTAAGTATTTCTTGGAATAATTATACAGACTCCCTCTATTCTGTATAATTTGTAAAAGTATATAAAACCGATGAGAAATTTTTAAATATACCTTTTGTTTCATTTAGTTGAAAGTGTTACAAGTGTTACCAGTGTTATACCTATTTATACCTATAAAACAGCATTATGTGGCATCCGTGGAAAAACTTTGATGGTGCTTCTTCGAGTGTTCCAGCAAAGAAAAAGTATTTATCTGCTGACGCTAGAGAAATCGTAAAAACAATATAGAGTTCTTTACTTACAATAGGACTTACTGCTAGTACTGCTGCCAGTGAAATATCTTATTTAATGAAAATACCTCTAACCGCAGTAAAAAGAATTATATCAAATCCCATTAAGTCAAGAAGGAAGCGTAAGGATACCGGTTCTACCAAATGTATTAACGAAAGTGATAAGGACTTAATAACACGAAAAATTTACAGAATGTACGAAGAGCAACGGCTTACTAATGATGATACACAAATAAACTGTAGCCGCATTAGTCTGGAGAATTTTGCCTAAAATGGGCTTCAGATATCGTACAATTGACAAAAGGCAAGTGTTTATGGAAGGAGTCCCACCGTTTACAAATGTGGCGTACTGAATATATAACTCCATATATATAAATCCAATATATAAATCCATAAGAAAGTACCGTAGAGAAGATCGACCAATAATTTATCTGGACGAGACATGCTTTGACACTCATGAAACATCATCCAAAGGATGGTCCGATTCTTCCAACAGGTGTCAAACAAAAGCTCCATCAAACAAAGGGAAAAGAATAAAAATTTTACATGCAGAATCAGAAAATGGTTGGGTCCCAAATGACTTATGGCTTTCTGCAAAGAACATTAAAGACTCCTGCGTGGATAAGGATACTACGGCAGAGCTTTTTAAGCAATGGTTTAAGAATTGTCTGATACCTAACCTTCCTCAAATTAGTGTGATAGTAATGGACAATGCAAGTTACCACAGTCGTTAATTACAAAGTCAAGTCTCCAAGTGCAAATAACACGAAAATTAAAATTCTACCTGTTAGAAAACCATATATATTTTGAAGAAAGTTATTTAAAAAATGAATTGTAAGAGGTGTTAAAATTATTTTCTATTAAAAAAGTATATGTTTGTGACGCATTGGCCCAAAACATGGGACATACAGTGTTACGGATTCCGCCCTACTATTGTTTATTTGATCCCATAGAGCATATGTGGCACCAACTTAAGTCAAATGTTAGGTCACAAAATGTTTCTCCGACTTTAAGTGGTAGTGTAGTCGAATTAATAAGAAAATGTGTTGATGATATCTCCCCAGAAAGTTGGAAAAATTCAGTACGCCATGTAATGAACGTAGAGAATTCATATTTTACTTTCAATCACATAATTAAACCATTTGTTATTATTCTTAAAGAGGATAGGGACAGCGAAACAGAATTAGGTATTTAGGAATTCATAAATATATTTTGGTTATTTTGGTTTTTTTTTTTGTAAATATTAACTTGTATATATTTTTCTATATATATTTTTTTAATTCATCTATTTTTGTACATTATGTATTCGTTTGTATGTATATACTGTAAATAGAACTATTACTACTGTACATTTTTAACGATATCCGATTAGGAAAAGCAAAAACTTTTAAACACGCCAGTTTTTTGCTGACAGTCCTAAGCCTGTAAAAAGTGTGAAGGAAAGTACCTTTCTGAATTTAGATCCATATACTACAATTATTCGCGTAGAACAAAAAAACTACTTTCTTCATGTTAAAAATTGTTCAATTATCAAGTATATTTACTTGAACAACCTGAAAATACCATATGAAATAATTGAATAAATTTTTATAATCGTGTATTACACAGCTACCAATAAAGTATATTAAATAACAAACTTTCTTAAGTGCGACCCTGTGTACTTCGGTAGTTTATTGAGAGACTCTTGTATACACAACTCAGGTAATCATTAAGCACTCAGCCATTTTTCGTGAAACAAACTTTAGTTAAGTTGACAACTTCATTTGAATTAAATATTTTACAATATTGTTTGGATAAAAACGTACTTCTCTTAACAATATAAGTCTACGACATAAAAATAAATCAATTTCCATTACCCGACAACACAAAAAATAAATCGTCGCATTACATCTCTTAAATACGTAATGGCCGTACAAAAAATTCTCAATAACTGGAGGAATATCAATCCGCTGCTGGTAGAGCAAATCTTCTCCATTTAAAAATGAAAAGAGTCTCATTGATAATTTGAGGGAGAATTTCCATATTGCTTATATTTAAAAAGTTTGTTAGACACTAAGTGGAAAGTTGAAAGGAAAAAGCACTTCAAGAAAGACGAGGTTCTTCCCTTTGTGAATCGTCTCTTCAATTGCAAATGAGCCAGACCCTTTTCAAGACCTTTTCTACATCCGACAAAAAAGACTTCTAACTTTTTTCCACCAGTATTCATTTAATATACCATAATTTATTACCCATGTAAGACAGTGCATTATAAAGTTCTCATTGTTCTCTACTTATTAAAGAATCTAAAAGTTTGTTTGTTTCAGAGAGATTAAATAAAACACGAGTAAAATTTATTACTAGATGGTTTTAGTTTCTTAATTTTTATAAATGATTAAATAATAATATTCTTAAAATGAAATTTTTAGTTTATATGAAAGTCTTGAAGTGGATTTTTATCTATTATAACAAATGTTAAAAAAATATAAGATATTTCAGCAATGTCCGAAGGTTAAAGAATCTGTATGTCATGCAACGTTTAATAAAAGCAAAATAAACGGGCTGCTTAAATGGTAATAATAAAATAAAGTGTACAGGAATAAAAGGGGCTCATCGACATTTTTTTAAGTTTTACAACTTATTATGCTAAGTTCTTTCAAATTTTATGGCGAATCATCCATTGCTTTTAAAAGTTTATAAACGGGGCTCATTCCGTTAATATGTCATAAAATTATAACCTCGTACAGGAATAAAAGGTGCTGACTGCAGTACAAACTAGTAAATAAGGTGTCAGACCTTATCTTAAGATCATTGCAGGCCAAAAAGTGACGGAATGGACTGTTTATGTGTGTTCAACGAAAGAACGCGCCCATTACCTGACCTTCTGAGAAATTCGCCATACTTTTATTAACAGCTGGTCATTGTTGCATGATACTACTCTTACGCATTTTTTGAAGGGAGATTATACGTTATTGAAGTCTGTGTTGTTTAGCTAAATAGTGTTCGTAAGAATTAAAATTATTAATGAAACTCTATTTGATGGTATGGGAGTGTGTGCAGAGCCAAGAACTAAGAAAAGAAAGTCACACGGAGTAAAAAACTAAAACTCGCAAGTCATGAACCGGGACTATCATATGAGTGTAAAAGGAAGTGTTATGAGCAAATACCAGAACAAGGTCGACAAACTATACTGCAAAACTTCAATATTATTGAATCTCATGATGTACAAAATAGCTATTTAAGTGGTTTGATCTCAGTTTTGCCAGTTCAAAGACCGTTGAAGAATGAAGATGCAAGCCATTAGGACGCTGTCTATTAATATCACGCCATATCACGCCAGTACGTGAATATTAAATACTAATACGTATTTAATATGCACGTACTGGCTACATAACCAAGTATGTTCTACATGTATCCAGAAATAGAGGGGAAGAAAAGTAGTGATGACGTTTTGTTCTCTTGTTCACCACTTCTTGTACAATATTAGGCGATGAAATACAAAACAGCTAAGTATCTTTTGTGACTCTTGCAGTGGCCAAAACAAAAATTTTACAATGTTTTGGTTCCTTCATCATTTAGTTCATGTAGAAAAAAAGTTGGAATCTGTAATGATGGCATTTCCGGTAAAAGACCACTCATATTTAGAGTGCGATAAAAATATGGGACTTACTAAATTTGCAACTAGGACAGTAGCTCCTGACGATTGGATTGAGGTAGTTAAAGATGCCCGTCAAACACCGACGCCATTTGAGGTAATTAATGTTGACCATTTATTTTTTTTTGAACATCTACTTTTGTTCAACATGCAATGGAGTGTGGGAACAGGCCGTTACCGCTGGAAGAAACAAAAGACGCATAAACAATATACTTCTGTTGCTATGTCAATAAACAGCAAAAACATTATTTGCATTAATTTCCCCACAGATAAACCAACTTTTGTTTAATCGTTAGGGAAACTATGAGGCTCTTGTTCCTTTGCACATATCTGACATGGTGCGTGAACAGATCGGCTATAATGAGTACATAATGAGACAGACAAAAGTAAATTTATATTATACAGACATTCAGCAATAAGGGGATATTATTTTATAGTTGTTTATGTGTGTTTTAAAAAGGCCATATGTAAATTGTCGCTTAAATATTGATATACTCAAAACGAACAAAATGTCGATGAGCCCCTTTTATTCCATACCCGTTCATATTTATTTGCATTAATAATCGCTGTACAATAAACACAATACACCAGAACATTATGAACTATTCGTATACCAAAGAAATAACTCATACGAATATTGTATTATTAAAGACGCAAATTCTACTCGACCTTTTTAACTGCATCTACAAGAGAGGAGAAATACCAAAGAAATGGCTAGTTTTAACTTTTGTAACCTTACCAAAAAAGGCAAATGCAAAACAGTGCACTGACTACCGCACTATAAGCTTAATGGGGCATACATTAAAAGTATTCATCAAAGTAATCCACTCAAGAATTAACAGAAAACTAGATGCAGATATTAGTAATACTCAATTCGGATTTCGGAACGGGCTTGGAACAAGAGAAGCACTATTTGCACTTAACGTCATATGCCAAAGATGTCTAGATATAAACCAAGATATATATATATATATATATATATATATATATATATATATATATATATATCTATATATATATATATATATATATATATATATATATATATATATATATATATGTGCTTCATTGATTACAACAAAGCGTTTGATAAAGTTCGTCACGATCACTTAATGAAACTGCTAGTAGAAAAAAACTTGGATAAAAGGGACATTAGAATTATCTCTAAGATTTACTATAACCAGAAAGCAAATATCCGAATAGAGCAAGAGACAGCGGAGGAAATCGAGATCAAAAAAGGCGTAAGACAGGGTTGTATACTCTCACCGACCTTATTCAATCTATACTCCGAAGACATTATAAACACAGCACTTTCGGATCAAAATATAGGTATTAAGATAAATGACATCCGAATAAACAACTTGAGATATGCCGATGACACGGTACTAATCGCAGAAACTTGGGAAGATCTTCAAATACTAATTAACAAAATAGTAGAATGCAGCGAAGAACACGAATTATCACTTAACATAAGCAAAACAAAAATAATGCTAATATCTAAATCACCACAAAACTTCCCTGACATAACCGTGCATGATCAAAGAATCGAACGTGTAAGAAGATATAATTACCTGGGAACTGTTATCAACGAAAATAATGATTGCTCTGAAGAAATCAGAACCAGAATAGAGAAAGCTAGAGCCACATTTACTAAATTGAAAAAGGTGTTCTGCGGAAGAGATCTAAGTCTAAAACTTAAAATTCGCCTTTTGAGATGTTACGTTATGTCAGTTCTCCTCTACGGGATGGAAACATGGACATTGAAAAAGATCGATACCAAAAAGATAGAAGCATTTGAGTTGTGGATGTATCGTAGAATATTGAGAATACCCTGGACAGAGAAAGTAACAAATGTGGAGGTTTTGCGGAGAGTGCGGAAAGAGAAAGAGCTGATACTTACTGTTAAAAAGCGCAAACTACAATTTTTGGGACATGTTATGAGGGGAGATAAATACCAGTTGCTGCAATTGATTATACAGGGAAAGATAATGGGAAAGAGATCTATAGGAAGAAGAAGGCATTTATGGTTGAAAAACTTGAGAGAATGGTACAATTGCACCAATTACCAACTGTTTAGATCTGCAACATCAAAAATACGCATAGCTTTGATAATAGCCAAACTTCGGAACGAGGACGGCACTTGAAGAAGAAGAAAGACGCAAATGTAATCATTCTTAGCGATGGGCAATTAGATTTTATCTGATTAAATCCATTAAATTAATAATTTAATGGATTTAATTAGTTTATCCTTCACTCACTATTTTGATCCATCTTTTACATATGGTGAACACCAGCATTCATTTCATTTTTAATCTTTCTCTACAGTGTCTCTTTTTATTGCTGTATTAAAATGATTTTCTTCCAATCGTTAGACCAACCAGTCTAACGATTTTAATAAGTATATTAAGGGAATATCTGAAGATGATGAAGTATTACTAGCGCTAACATTTGTGCCAAATATGAGTAAAAAGAGCACAAAATTATCAGGCTGTTATAATATAAACTATTGCGGCCTGGTTTAAACATACTTTTTTTTTCTCTGTGGGTAAAAATTTTTATTAGCTCATCCCTAAGGATGGCTGGCGTGTGTTGGATACCAGATAGAGGAGAACATTTGACCCCATTCCCTTTAAAAGAAGGAGGTCCTGCAAATAAATGCCTTTCTATTATCCTGCCTACCATCTAAAACCACCCTCTCCTACTTGTGAGCAGTTGACTGTCGCACGTACAGTACTCCAAAAATATGATGGCCTCTGTAAGGCTGATGACACTCGAAGCACTCCCTTGTCTTATCTAGATCTTATCTCTGTTATTGGACTGGCTAATGTTTCTCTTCTTCTTTTTACTTTTTTATTATTTGGATGTAGTTATGTACAATATTCCATTCCTCCTTACTTCGATCAACGAGTTCCCTTTGTACTTGTTGACACTAATAACAAAATTATTGTAAATGAGCAAAAAATAAGAAAAGAATGGCAGATAAATTATGTCTGCCATTCTTTTGCCATTAATAGATATATTATTAAAATGGCTGTATATATCAGAGTTGTCAGAATAATATTGTCGAATTCCACCAAAGATGACAGGAATAATATTGTCGAATTCCACCAAAACTGTACTGACGGCCCAGAAATTATGAAATGCGAAGTAGAACATGCTATAAATAATGCTAAAATTAGAAAAGCTTGTGGTCCAGATGATACACCAACTGAGATGCTTAAACTAATAGAGGATGATAACATAAAAGTAGTAGTAAGACTTTTTAATTCAATATATAACACCGGAGTGATTCCCGCAGATTGGCTCAAATCCATTTTTATTGCAATACCTAAAAAACGCAATGCGAGAAAATGCTCAGAATATCGATTAGTTAGCCTAATGAGTCACACTCTTAAAATTTTTCTCAGAATACTTCACAACAGAATAAGATGCAAATGCGAAAAAGATCTTGAAGATACCCAATTTGGTTTTAGAAATGCTATGGGAACCAGGGAGGCAATTTTTGCGCTAAACATCCTATTACAAAAATGCCGTGACCAAAGAAAAAATGTATTTGCATATTTCGTGGACTTCGAAAAGGCATTCGATAAAGTACAGCATGTAAAATTAATGCATATACAAAAAATATTGGTGATAATAGATGACAAGGATATTCGTGTCAATAAAAATTTGTACTGGAATCAAACTGCTATCGTAAAAATTGGAGATAACTACTGATAGTTAGAGATATTGAAATCCCGATAAAACGAGGAGTCAGATAAGGTTGCATTTTGTCACCAACATTGTTTAATGTTTACTCGGACCAGCTATTTAAAAGGGCACTTGAAAGACAACCATATGGAATAAAAATCAACGGGGAACTACTTAATGTGATTAGATATGCAGACAATACAGTAATTCTATCAGATAATATTAAAAGTCTTCAAATTCCGCTTGATCGTATTCACAAGGTAGGAGAGGAAATGGGCATTAAAATAAACTCAAACAAAAACGAATTTTTAGTGTTTAGTTGTGACCCACATCCCGATGCAAAGCTTCAATTGAACGGAGTCCAACTTGAGAAAGTTCACAAAATAACATATTTGGGAACTCTTATAACGGATCAACTAGATCCAGACATAGGAATAAAACGTAGAATAGCAATGACTAAAACTAATTTTATAAAAATGAAGTCATTTTTATGCAATAACCATCTCAGTTTAGAACTAAGGCAAAGAATGGTTAAGTGTTATGTTTGGTCAGTACTTTTGTATGTACACAAGTGTGGACACTAAAAGTATCTATCATGAACAAAATTGAAGCATTGGAAATGTGGGTTCATACACGAATGCTGAAGATACCTTGGACAGTAAGAAAAACTAATGAAGAAGTACTAAGTAGCGTCAACTAAGACAGAGAACTGCTAAAGACTGCTAAATATCGAAAAATGTCTTATCTGGGACATACAGTAAGGGGAAGTCGATATAAAATTTTACAACAGATCCTTAAAGGTAAAATAGAGGGACGTAGAGGTGTAGGAAGAAAACAAGTGTCTTGGTTAAAAAACATTCGTGAATGGACTCAAATACAAAATGCAGGATAATTATTCCATATTGCAGAAGATCAAGAAGCCTGTGCAATGGTGATCGCCAACGTCGGATAGTTCTGATATGGCACGCGAAGAAGAAGAAGAAATACATACTAAATGCTTTTTCAAACAACCTTAAAAAAGATCATTATTAGTGTCATAACATAAATAAAATCGAAGATATAAGATAATTCCATCGAAAATAATTAATCAATTTTACCATAAAAAAGTAGTGCATGCATTTTATCTTATATTTTATTGCATTGTGGTTCACATCTCTTCTGTTTATAAGTAAAATTAATTTAATCCTGAGAATTGTAACTTTATTTTTAAAAACACAGCAGAATTTTATTGTTTTTTTTTATACATTCGTAAAGCTATACAGCAGTAACTGTATATCATATGGTGTCACTGCTGGATGTAAGGATATAAGTAAGTCAGACAGCACGTATTTTATCTTTTATCTCATAGCCCTAATATTATTTAACCTTCATGTCTCTTCTGTTTATCAGACTAATGAAATTTCCAAA